TGAACTGTCTATATTTAGATATAAAAAGGTACAGGTAAATAAGTTGACCACGACTAGGCCGGGTTAAAGAACTAAATAACCTATATGTACGGGTTACAAAGAATAAATGAAATAGGGTTTTATATTGCATAAAAAATATACAATTTCTGAAATGATAAAAAGTTTATATTCACAAGAAAATGAAATAAATATATGGGGAAAAGTAATTAAACAATTGATAATGAATAATTTTTTTAAAGCTTTAAGTTAAAAACATTATTCAGATTTAAATTAGTTACATTCTAGAAATTGGAACAATTATGAACTGTAAATTGAGAAGCTTCCGTTCCAGCAAGTGTACCAGATTTATTCCGGAACGAGTTATGCATTCCACACCATAATGAACTATTTCAAAAACACATCTAAATTTTAGTGCAAAATTTCTAGAAATTCCAGAAAATCTGAGAGAACCCGATATTCCAGAAATATTTCCGAATTCCTAAAAAACAGAATCTAGATAAATAACAAAAACAAACTTACCAAATAACCAAATGTACAAACATTATCCGAAAACTCAGTCCTAAGTCACCTAATGACGATCTTTAAATAAAAGCTTTAAACAATAAACTCCAAAGCTGAATTCAAACTGAAGATTTGTAATCAAATGTCTATTTATATATGGGATGCTGCAACCTTCAATAATACTTTGATTTTTAAAAATATCTATATTTTATTATTGGGTATTTTGTCCACCCTTAAGGTTGAATAATGTCTTTTCCAGACATAATAAAAAAATACAGTGGTGGGGGGTTGACACCTCTCAGGGGCTTTTATAGGAATTTTTCCAGGGAGGGTGGTTTAGCTTTATCAAATTATTAGCTATGTTGCAGTGGATAAATACAATCTAAAAAAGCAAACCAATAAAAACTAAAAGGAAGTAGTATTCCATTAATTTAAATGATAATTATATGTTTAACTGCAGCTTGGGAACCAAGATTTGCCTGCAAACTAAACTTCTCTAAGCTCTATAAAAATTAGAAATCGGTCAACCCTGAGCTATGATAACAGGAAAACAAACAGAGTGTTCTACTTTATACAGTAAACACCCCCTCCTCCACTTCTCTGTATAGAATACTAATTACATATTTTTTAAGTAGTTTTTCAAAGAAGACTTTTGTACAATTGAACAATAAACCATTTCCTAGACAGTAGCATATACAATACAAGGACATGCAATTGTAGGCATTAAATAAAACAGAGGAATTTAAGGACCATGGGGGGGGGGGAGAAGCAAAAAATGTCCTTGATCATTTGCCCCCTCTGGCTAAAAATCCTGTTTATGCGCTTGTTTCTTTATATTTGTAATTTTCCACCGTTTCGGAATAAAACCAAAGAGAGTACAGAATGAGCAATCACAGGCGTACACAGGGGGGGGGGCTATGAGTGCCAGATACGGCTTATGGGGATGAAGGGGAGACGTCCCCTCCTGTAAAATTAGGGGAGACATTCTCCTCCCTGGAGAACTTGGGGATGGATCCCCCCTGGAAAAATTAAGAGCACAAAAAAAAGAGACCAAGCACCATAACTCCCACAAAAAAATTTCCCTGCGGTGCCACTTATTATTATTAAATAAGGATTTTTTATAAAAATATAAATCTTGCCTATGCACATTTACCACCCACTCCCCAGCTGGCCATGGTTGTTTGGGCGAAAATTTGAATGAATTCCCTGTAAAAAATCAAGGGGGGATAAAAGATTTTGGCGCGCTTCGCGCTCAATATTGATCAATAGCCCTTTCATCCCAGTTCCTCAAGATCATTTGAGAAGTGCTTTTAATTGTCTGTATGTTCATGATTGGGTTATAATTTGTGAGAATGAAGATATTTTGTGTATTTATTGTCGGTTTAAGTATTTGCGGAGCTGGTATTATTAAAAGGTATATTTTTATTAATAATGCATGATATGTTGTTTATTTCTTTACCTTTTTTCTTATTTGCATTCACGTGTGTTAATTTTTACGAATTTTATTATTGGTGTTTATGTTGTTTATATTTGGTAGATTTATTTTTCATTTAGATCCAAGTTCAAACCAGAATTATTGGTCCATCCCCCCCCCCCACTTCTTTTGATATTGCTCGTACTTTTTTAAAAGTTAACACTTTTCTTACGGAATAGTTCATTTTCTTAATGTTAAGAATCGTGTAGTTTTGTATAGTTTTGTTTTATTTCGTTGGTGTTAACCATTATTAATTATGGCATTTATATTGGTTTCAACTTATTATTCACGCATATAGATATCTTTGTTTGTTTGTATCCTTAAAACGTCGAAACGGCTGAATCGATTGGGCCCAAATTTTGTGTGGGACCTCACATGGTTACAGGGAAGGTTTGTGGATGATCAAAATTTAAAAAATTTGGCGAGAACTACACGTTTCAATTGTCCTTTTTACAACGTAGGAAAGCAAACTATTGCTGAACTTTTAACTTTCCATTTGGGGTTTTAATTTTATTCAGAAATGAAATATTTTTGTTATATTAATTGTACTGTTGTTTTAGCTTAATTCACAAATTATCACCATTTTCTGCTAGGAGAAAGTCTTTATTTCAAATTTAAATGTTCTAGGGGTGAAGGATCCGAAGATGATTCAGTAAGTGTTGAGGATAATTACAATGATGATTCTGAGGATTCCTTTGTTTCTGAAGAAACCGTGAATGATGAATCTGTTTTGACTCGACCTGGAGGGTATCATAGAGGACATGGGAACTGGACTGGGAAAAGGATTGCTAGATCTGTTGGCAACGGACTTAATGAGCTTCAGGTAAAATATTGTGCGTTTTTAATTGGCCTTCTATTGTAGAAAGGCTCGATTCACAACGGAACACCTGTAAAATCTTTTTGTGAATAGCTGAAGTTGGTTATCAGAGTGGTCATCTAAATATAGGTGGTTTTCAGCGTGAAATTAACTTAATTACTTTAACATTTCTTATATTCCATAAATTATTTTTAAATAAAGTTTTTTTGTTAGGATTGATGCGATGTTTTACACGTTGATTGTCCAGTTTCTGATGTTTTAGTAATATTTGTAAAAGTGGAATAAATATCTGCTTTTAGTATCTTTATTTGTAGAAAAATTTGAAATTTAGTCCTCAAATAAATTTGATTGCCAGTTCACAAAATAAAGATCGTAGTGTTTGTTTCATCCGTAGTCATGACAAATATTTAATGGAAATATCAAATATCAAGCCTGGGAGTACTTTTGATTTGCCAAACTAATTTGTGGAAACCAATGCGCATGTGCATAAACAACAGTTTGGATGAAAAAGGGTAGATAATCGTAGGATTTAAAGGATGACTAATGAAAGCATCAGCTGTTTCAGGGTAGATTTAGGATAGGTAATCCAGCCTCTATTTAGGGCAGATTTATGACTGATGAAACAGTACTTCCCTAATCGTGCAACAAGTCTAAAACGTAGGATAAACCTAGGATTTATTAATCGTAGGTTTATCCTACGATTAAGATACTCGTCTGACGAAGCGGCCGAATATCTTTATTTGTAGAAAAGTTTGAAATTTAGTCCTCAAATAATATTGATTGTCAGTTCACAAAATAAAGATCGTAGTGTTTGTTTCATCCGTAGTCATGACAAATATTTAATGGAAATATCAAATATCAAGCCTGGGAGTACTTGTTGAATTCTAATATTTTGAATTCTAACTAGGTGTCTACAAACTGCAGAACTGTTGTAGCGATCAATGTGGCTGATCCTGTCTCCTGTTCTAAGATTAAGCAGGGGGAGTTACTGAAGTTCGACGCCGTTTATTCTCCAGGTTGGGGCTCAGTGGTAAGTTCAACGCTAACTTTTTATTTATTGTAATCTTCCCAGAATAGTGATCTGTAAGGTAAAACCATGTTTAAAAGGGAATTGAGTTATGCACAGGGAGTAAGGAATAGAAGGGAGATATATCTGACGAGTTCGCCCTACCATATGATTATACATGCTTTGCAGACGGGTACTTCATTTGTATAAGAAATATTTGTCTGATGTACAATTACCGCGTATACAATAACCTATTCTGAATAATTCTTATAAAAATGGAGTACCGTCTGCAAAGCATGAATAATCATATGGTAGGGCAAACCGCGTCAGTTAAATCTCCCTTCTATTCCTTACTCCCTGGTAATGCACCACATGCTGATTCACAATGTATTCACAATTGTCTTTTCTCATTAAACAGTAGGAAATCTCTGAGGTTTGATATCTAGTTATTAACTACGTTTTCTTTTACCCTTTATTTTTTGTTAGATCTCTGACCCCCTTAGGTAGTTTTTTTTAACCCTTCCCCATTTGATAAAATAGATCCTGAAGTTAAATCTCTGCCATTAGGTTATGGCTCTTAGTTTGATCTTTGACCTTTAGTTAGTTTGATCTCTTTCCCTTAAGTTTGTTCCTAAAGTTGATCTCTTCCACTTAAATTAGGTAATGTTTAAGATATATTTCCCTCATAGTGGATCTATAATCCTGAGGATTAATTTCTGCACTTAGGTTAATGGTTATTGGAGTTTGAACTCTTCTTTTTAATTAATAAACGATCCTAATAAACGATCTAAAAGGTTGATTTTTTGTAGGTAACTGGAGGTCCTCATGAGAAGGAGCATGGTCAGGCTAACCCGGGTCAATATCAGGGATCTGATCCTAATTGGTTGGATCACTATGGGAACCTGGATATATCAAGTTTACCAGGACGGTGTAGGTAATGATTTTTTAAGTTGTTTTAAATACAGGCGTATTCAAGGGGGAGAGGCTATTGGGACTCAGCCCTCTACCCCCTGGTCCAGTCAAATCTACTGGTATAAGTGAGATTTCATGTCTCAATGGTCTCCCCCCTGTTTAATTTTAATCGATCCTGGTTTTAAGGCTAGAAATGAACTAAAGATGTATAATTTGTAGGATACAAAATTTTGATCTTGTTGCTTGGTGGATAGCCATTCCTTGAATACAGTGAAAGATAGTAAATTATTGAATTACTATCTGTATTTTCTAGGTATGATCCGTACAGGGCTCTCCAGGACCCAACTACTGCTTGTCTCTGTGTTGCTACTCAGGAGACCTGTACCCAGAATAGAGACGGATGTTTCTGGTAATCATTTTAAGAGTTTAACTATTCTATTTTTCTGTTAGTGGGATTTCAACTCGTTAAAATATTAACTCGACGGAATCCACTGCTTAAATTGTTGAGAATTTTGCCAATTACTTCAAAAAAAAACCTAACAAGTGCTGTACAGTGCTAAAATGTACATGGAAAGGGCTACAGAAAAGCGAGTTAGAGCGGTAAAATTAAGCTAAGGCGTCAACCCTTTCTTAAAATTTATGAGACTGTTTATAAGCAGGCTGAATCTGTGTGAATCTGTGCTGAAAATGTGTTAAATAGGTTGCATTTATTTGTTTTGAATTCGATTATTTTTGATCTGATACGTTCTTCGGATTGAGTTTAACAATTTTCTCCCTCTTGACGCAATATTTTTCGACGTATAGCCTATACCCCCCTTATTTTACGCGAACACTCCCTTTAAGCTGATCAAAAATGTGGAAGATCTGTTAAGTTGAAAAGTTTTATTCTGATTAGTGTTCCCAATGCGCAGAAAAGTTCAAATTTGTTTGGAATATATACAAGTTATATTTACAAGTTTGTTTCAAATGTGTATATATAAAGTTTGTGTATATTATATTTCTCTAGGTATGATGATAAGAAGACAGGATACAAGGAATGTATTTCTAAAGCAGAGAAGTTTTATAATCAACTGTATGCGCTTCTCAAGAAGAGGGGAAAGAAGTCCTTTGCTATCAACATCAAGTAAGTTGAATTTTAGTACTTTCACGTAATTGAAATTTAGAAAAGTGACTGCAAATGTTTAGGGCAACCTTTAAAGGGAATTCTTCAACATTATTTTATGGGTGGGCGTTTTGATTTTGTTGCCGGTAAAAGGGAGAAAGAAACATAATTTCACTTAATTTGTTCAGATATGGAGCCACAGGAGCAAGGGGTGAACTTCCACTTGGACCCTATGGTCCTGCCATCATCGGAGCTGGAAATCCTAATCCTTCTTCAACCATGGGTATTTACAAGCAACCTGCCGGGACACAACCTTATCCTAAACCTGCGTCATATGGGCCTCAACCTGACAATTCCTATTCTCAGGGGGGAAGTCTTTATGGCAAAAGTAATCCGCTCCAGGGTGAATACAGGACTGAACCTAGCATGTACCAACCTAACCAATACCAGACCAACCCGTCAAATATGTACCTACCCAACCTGCCAAATTTGTACCAACCCAACCAGCCCGACATGTACCAACCCAACCAGCCCAACATGTACCAGCCCAACATGTACCAACCCAACCAGCCCGACATGTACCAACCTAACCAGCCCAATATGTACCAGCCCAACATGAACGAACCCAACCAGCTTAACATGTACCAACCTGAATTGTACCAGCCCAACATGTACCAACCTGACTTGTACCAGCCAAACATGTACCAACCTAACCAGCCCAACATGTACCAACCCAACCAGCCCAACATGTACCAACCCAACCAGCCCATTTTAAACCAAAATCAGGGAAACTGGAGGCTAGATCAGGGCATGCAGCAACAATTTCAAGGTAATCCAGGCATGAACTTTGGACCTCCTTATCAAACTATGATGCAAGGATCTCAGGCTCAGTTTGGTCAAGTTGGTCAATCTGATAATAGGGGACCACAGCAACAACAGTCTGATTATAGGGGACCACAGCAACAACAGTCTGATTATAGGGGACCACCTCAGTAGCAGCAGCAACAACGGCAGTCAAATCCTGGAACTGAGTCTAATGTTGTTCAAACTAGAAAGAAAAGGAGTGCTGAGAAAAGGAGTGCCCACTGTAATGCTAGAAAAGAAAAACATCCTGCTAAGAAAACTGATTCCACCAGCAATTCGTCCAAGTTGACTTCCCCCCAGCGCAGAATTAGACAAAGGAAAACTGGATACAGAGCTTCTTGATTTATTTATCATTTTATCTATGTAATAAACTTATTTATTTTATCTGAATGGTTTTAAAATTGGAGGTTGTGAAAAGAGCATTAAGTTGATTTCTATTATTTGTTTGATGGCAATTGAGTGATCTACATCTTGGGTTGATTCGATATGCATGCTAATATTTTTATTTTACTGTGCGCGTTGAGATTTTCTTTTTTACATTGAAATATCACAAAGTTGGTTAATGAGTGATTTAAAGATGGATTTAGTATAAGGAGTTAGTAATGGACTGAGTGATACTTCAAGATGCAATATTCAGTCAAATTTGTCAAATTTCATTGTAAAACAGTACAAGAATTTAACACAAAATATTAATCTTAAGTAAAATTGAAAAAATGGTTTGAGTTGTGCTTTTTTGATGTGACGCGGCTGGATTTTTTAAAATCACATTAAAGGCCCTAGTTATCTCAATTAAAAAAGCAGTTTTGCCAGGAAGAGTCAAATGTGGTGGTACGGAAGGGGAAATAGTGGTGGCTCATGGCCGCCTGCTTTCCCCCGCTCCACAGATATTACCCTTTTATGATTTAATCCTTCAGCAGAAACTTATGTTATTAATGCATTTAATAGATAAAAGTTATAGTCTAGTGAAATTTTTTGGTAAAATACTTAAAATTTGTATAATTTAAAGGGAGTTACCAGCTATGTAAGGTAGTTGAACTGAGTATGCAGTGTTGTGGAAAACTTCTTTCGGATTCCTTTGAGAAATATTAAAATTTTTAAAGATCTGTAAATCAAGAGTTTGAGCGCAAATTCGACGTTCAAAACTCCTACTTTGGGGGTGGATACGTTTCAGAATAAGTTTTTTAAATTATTAAATAACGACAACAAAAAATAAAGTAAAAACTATACAGTAATCTAATTAGATGGTTAGGAACATATTTCTCATAAGAAATTTGTCAAATAAATGCTAAAACCGATTATTTCGTTTTCATTATTATATTGAATTTCTAATTTTCTTTGAAATTATTCGCAGGTTTCTTCAAATTCTTCAAATGTTGTGTTTTCAATAATAATTCTAGAAAATCTGTGAAAATCTTTGTGAATAATGAGAAACCAGAACAATGAGAAAATAGAAACTAAGAATCGAACAAGATTACTTATTTTCGATAATAAGATTCATTTTTATTTTCTCAACATGTTCCTATAACATGACGTCTGCAGTTTGTTGTAGAACTTTTTTACACTTTATGTCGTCGTTATTAAATAATTTTAAAAAAACTAATTCTGAAAACGTATCCACTCCCAAAGTAGGAGTTTTGAACATCGAATTTGCGCTCAAACTCAGGATTTGCAGATCTTTTAAAAGTTTAATATGTCTCAAATCAATCCGAAAGAAGCTTTCCACAACACTGCATGCTCAGTTCAACTACCTTACATAGCCGGTCACTCCCTTTAAGAAAATTTTAAGATTATTTTATCCCAAGAGTTGGCAATGAATCTTAACGACGATTTTCTTTGCTTTGTTTTGCCTTAATGCTGGATCAGCTTGGCTTTAAATAGTCCTGAAATATCCAGTATTAATAATAAACTTTCTTTTAAATCTACGATTAAAGATCCTTTGCTGTGAAAGAGTGAACACTTTAATTGCAATAAACTATTTTGATTCTCTTATTGATAGTCAGTTTTAAAACATTCTCATAATTTTTCTTGTACAGGGTGTCCCAAAAAACGTGGGAATTCAGTGACGAATTCGATATCGTCTTTGTTATGAATTAGCATTGTAATACCTAATTTCAAAAGCCATAATATTATTATGTCTGCTAGAGTTTATTTTATGAAAAGGGTAAACGACTGCAAAGATGTGTCTATAATGTCTCCGCAAGATGAACAGTGAATACGGACAAGTTTACTCTGTTTGTATACTGTAATTTTCTTGTTTTATTAAGTGCAACCGGTTGCAGTCAAAACATAAACAAACAAAATGTAAACATAGCAGACGAAACTCTTACAGATTACAGCTTTCTCAGTAGGTATCACTATACTAAATCAAAGAATTATTTGAAAAGACGATATCGAATTCGTCACTGAATTCCCATGTTTTTTGGGACACCCTGTATTTTACTTCAATGGATTTTTAATTAAAAAAAATTTGCATTTTTTAAAATCGGTGCTCTGGCATTGCTTTTTTTGGAAAAAGGTATTGCTGATGGTTGAACCTTAAATTCTTGCTAACATTTTTTGCAGCGCAAAAAATTAGGAATGCAATAGTTCCTGGCACCTTTGTTACTGTTTACTGCCTACTGTCTCAAATCAGGAACCTTTATAACCTAGCAATGGAGCAAACCCGACCCTGTTCCTCCGTCTTCTCCAAACCTAGTCCCACGACTTATCACATCTGAGCTGAAAACTTTTGAATGGGATATCCTTAATCCCGATCAGTTAATTAATCTGGAGATTAATAGTAAGAGGAGAACAAGCATTATTTAATCTCGAGATAAAGAAAAAGAGTGGATCAAGCATTAATTCCGATATCCAGAAATCAAAAGTTCGCCATATTTTTAAAAAATGTATTTAGTTTCAAGGATCGGACACTTAAAAAAAATAATATTGAAAGGACGAGGATTTCGATGTGGTTCGGACGAGAAAATGATGAGAATGTGGTTCGGACTAGAGATTGATGTGGTTGGCCTTCCTCCCCTCGCTTGGGTCAAAGCAGTCGTAGGGCCTTATTTACTGCTTGAGCTTTTGGATTCAAGCTTCATCTTATTTTCCACAGAGTTGAGTTCAAAAAACCGGTTTAATATTCTATTTGGCGGATTTTCATGGTAGGAATTGGCGCATTTCGGGTTTTTATGAGAACAAGACTCAACATTGAGCCTTATTCGCCACTAAAACCAACCAAGGTAGGTTTCAATTTCATTGGGCCTAACTCCTTAAGTCGAGCCGAAGATCTTGCAGCTGTCAATCACGTGACACAAGCTGGGTCAAAGATTGGGTCAGAAAGTCAGATTTAAGGAATTACAGCTCGAGTCGAAGTCTTAAAATCACGAGCTCAGGGTTTCCTTTAAGGATGAGACTTATATGACGACTATTTCCTTCTATTCATGACTCTTTGCTACTAAACTTCTTTTTTTCTAAAGCATGAAATAAAGCATTTAAAGAATACACTTAAGAAAGTCGGTGGATCTAGGATTGGGATTTTTTAAAATAGGTTTTCTTAAATATTTTTAAAGCCGAATAATTGTAGTAATTCACATTTAAGAATTTATTACATAATTATTATAAATGACAATTTATAAACCTTACTGGAGACATGGTACTGCACTAGGATTAATATAAACAAAAAATGTTTCTTTGTTTATTTCGAAACCAGTTTTTGAACCAGTTTCTAGACCTTTTGGAAGTATCTTGTTGCTGTGATAGGACTTCCAACCACACTAAATTAATATATGCGTGAATTAAAGAGAGTGTTCGTGAAAAATGAAAGGGGGTATAGGCTTATGGCGAAAAATAAACGCTTTTGATCGCTCCTAATGTTATTTCTATCTGTTGCATCTATAAGGAGAAAATTGTTAAAAACGACTTATGCTGAAGAACGTAGCGTCCATACAAATTCAAAAAGTTGCATCATTCAACTCGGATCATAAAATAATCAATTTAATTCCAAACAATTATCATTCAGATATTACAAACAATAGTCATTGATTATTTTTCGTCGAATTCGTATAAAGTTAATATTTCACAATATTTCTGATTAAAAAAAAAAAAATTTCGCTGGCGCTAGATTTTCGAACATTTCTGAAAAATATGAAAATCTCTTCCTCATTATTAGAAATCCTCGAAACAGGAATAAATGTTTTCAAAAGTAACTATCAGATCATAAAAAATAAAAGGATATTATTAAATATCAACTATTTACGAATGGATCGAAAAATTATCGATGACTATTGGTTGTAATATCTGAATTATTTGTTTGGAATTAAATTGAATGTTGCAAGTTTGCAATTTTCTGAATTTGTATGGACGCTACGGTCTTTGGTATGAGTCGTTTCAACAATTTTCTCCTGATAGACGCAACAGATAGAAGTAAGATTAGTAGCGCTTAAAAGTGCTTATTTTTCGCCGTTAGCCTGTACCCCCGTTCATTTTACGCGAACACTCCCTTTAATAAGCAAAACATATACTAAAAAGGACACATTTTAGCTTCGTGAGAAAGACGATATGCCTTTGCAATTAACTGAAATTGTAACGAAATCCAATAAAATTCCTTAAAATGATATTTAGTGCAGATTGCCAGATATAATTTAATAATACTTATCGGAAATAAAGGAATTATAATGGAAATTTGTTATACCGGGTTGGGTTCTTTAACGTGTTAAGAAAATACCTGGAATCATCTCAATCCATGACAATATATAATTGTGTGCCACGAAATTACATGTTAAAAGACGGATTGAAGATCGTCTTTAATCTCTAAAGTATTTTGCAGCATTCATCCTTGGAATTAACTTAACATTGGCATTTCTAAAAAGTGGTTGGCATTTTTTTACTCAATACTGTAAATGAAGATAAACAAATCTTGTTTTTTATAATTTTACTTCTAAAATTAGGTGGACGAATGCCGCAAGTTAATTCATAGATCAATGACGATCTTCAACTCAGTTCCTATTTACCTGAGGGTAACCGTCATACGCTTCCCATTCTCTGTAAATGTTCTGATCTCCGTGTAAGCTGGGTCCTCCGTGGGGGTCAATACTTTCTTTAGTGAGTTACCAGCTGAAACAATTTTATCAATTTCTCTTTCTTTTATGGTTTTATATTTTTTAGCTTTTGTTTATGTACTTCTAATTATAAGTGTGCTGCAAAATCAGATATACTAACAATTTTTACATCAAATTCACATTTTTTTTGCATTTCTTTAGTTTTTGCTTACAGTGAGCATAGGAAATCTGTGGAATAGGAAAACAATAATAAAGTAAATTTGATGGTATTACAAAGAAAATAGTTTTACCATTACCTCATAAATCTAAAATTAATTAAAATGGGTTTTTATACAGTAAACAGTATACACTACATAATTGCTGTGTCTTATGCTCAAATTGGAATATCTAATTCAAAACATAATTAGAGTCTAAAAGTCGTCTTCCTTTTCCACAGTTTTTTTGAGTTCACTGTTCATCTTTTGAGTTACAAACAAAAATCTCAGAATATTTATTATTTAGAGGAACAACTGTTGGAGTAGAGTATATTACAGCAAATATTTATTAATTAATATGTTACTCTATGTATATGTATAGTGTTGTGAAACGTTTTGGATTATTAATTATTAATTAATAATACTTTTAAGATTTAAAACTGTTTCAAGTTAAAATTTACTTTTTTTTTAACTTAGCAATATCTTGATTCTAAAAAAAGAAAAATTATCCAAAAACTTTCGTTACAACACATTTTCGTTTTTGCATCGTTTTTGGTCGTTTTTTTGGCATATGTCGGGCTCCAAATTAACCAAATTTTTAGCGTAAGAAAACAAATAATTCAAATAAACAATTCTGAAAACATTGCCAAATTTTGACCCTGATAGAAAATACAAGGAAAAACTAAGTGAAGGCTTACTATCTGTGTATTTGAATTGTGAGTGTAAAGGGACTGTGAGTATAATCACAAGTGACCCTCCATGCATAGATGACAATGCCCTTTTTACAACAGTACGTAAACTTAAAAGCTTTGGCAGGTCAAGACTAAAATATATATTCATGCCTTTGCTACTTCAAACTAGGGTTTCAAGCGAAATAGGAAAATTTCGCCTCAATCTGTTTCGAGAAAAAAGTGCGAAATTTTCGCGAAATAAGAAATTCGAAATTTCGCGAAATAAGAAATTATAAATTTCGCGAAAAAAATAATTTCGTGGTAAATAAGGAATTTTTTTGAAAAATGCAAAATTTTTTCGAATATTCAAAAAAGACAAATTTTTGGGAATATCTTTTCGTGAGAGTTTGCCTAGATTTTGCATTTTTCGCTTCATTCATTTTTCACGAAAAAGTTTTCGAAATACAAACGAAATTTTCGCATTATTTTCAAAATTTCAATATTACCGTTGTAAATCGGGCAATTGCCATCGAGGGTCACAACTTGAAATTACGCGTACAGTCCCTTTAATACAAACCAAAAGTTGCGATAGCCGGCACATTTCCACCACGAGGATCTTTCTCCATGAATGGAACCCCGAGCTGAGAAACAAATTAATAGATTTACATATTTAAATATACATAGATATTATATACACATGTTTTTTTAAATAGAATTTTTAAAAATAAGATTTGCTCGCCATTTACTAATGAGTAGATAAAAATACAATATAAAAGAAAAATAACAATCAGAAGCTAACAAAAAAAACATATTTAGCCAATTTAAGTCGAGTCAATGTATATAATTAAGTTAAGGCTGAACATTTTATAAACATTTTTGAAATTTAATTTTAATCCATGATTTAATACCGAGCCCGGGTAAACGATGGGAGTATCTTTTTATGCAGAGTATGACTCTACGAATAATAATATACAGGGTGTCCCACGAAACGTGACAATAGCAAGACGACTTGAAAGTCGTCTTTGGTATTTGAATTTATTTGTGACATTTAGTCTTCTATCTACTTTAACATGTATGATTCTTGAAACAATTATCACATAATTCTCCTAGCCCTGGCATTTCCAAAAAGTGGTCTGCGTTTTTTGTGCTTTCAATATTACCGGAGATATAAAGAGTTTGGTTCAGATTTCAATTTTGTTAAATAAAAGCAAAATTGTCGAAATCTGAACGAAATTCTTCATATCTCGGGCAATATTGAAAGCACAAAAAAGGTAGACCACATTTTGGAAATGGCAGGACAAGGAAAATTTTGTGATTATTATCTCTAGAAATTTACTTCTAAAATTAGGTTGACAAATAAACGCAGCAAATTATATCAAAAATCAAGACGACATTCAAGTCGTCCTGCATACTGTCATGTTTCGTGGGACACCCTGTAGACCCATGGGCAACGGCAGGCAATCCAGCAAATAACATATATTACTACTGAGTACTAGAAGGCTTTATGAGGTAAAGAAACTAAACTAAAACATTTTGAAATTCCGTTTGCTCGACTTCTTACAAATTGATAGCAATGTAAAAAAAATTGTGTGATATTTTTAACATTCTGTTCAGATAAAATCTTTGTCATTTTGAAATTCTATCAGTAGGTCGATATCGCTATCAAAATATTTATTTATCTGAACAGAACGTAAGAATTTCTTTTTACTGTCGTCTTCGTTTGTTTTTATTTTAATACCTCGAATTCTGATGTACTAGAGAAGAGGCTGGATCCAAGTGTTAATTTTATTTTCCCGCCACCTTGACTGAACAAAAATCAAGTTTTAATAAAAAGGAGACTTTTTCATCAAGAGGTTTAACAAGTTCTAAACTTTTGTAATTTTAATCCTTACATAAAGCAGTAATCCGTATATTTTGAAGGTTTAACAGATTAAGTTAATTTAATTCCTTGGATAGATATTTTAAAGGTTGAACCAATAAGAAGACACAACTAATCTATTCTCAACTTTAAATTAAAAGGTTCCGCTGTGAATCAGCGTTAAAGGGACTGTAAGCGTTGTTTCAAGTGACCCTCCATACACAGATGGAAATATGCCCATGCCCTTTATTCACAACTCATAAAACTAAAAGCTTTGTTTAAGTAAGTAATGAATTATTTATCTATTTTTTGGTTTATTTAAACTGGTTATTTTCATTCGTGGTTTCTCTGCAAAAGTGACTTGTTTATGAGAAACAATACAGAAATTATCAGAATTTTGTGGTTTCTCTGCAAAAGTGAATTGTTTATGAGAAACAATACAGAAATTATCAGGATTTTTTAAACGTCTCGAGTCAGGAAAAGCGTTGTTGATTAGTGATATATCTTATAAACAAGATCAGATTTTCATTCGTCTTAATATCATTCACATCATTTATCTTAATATCTTTATAACGCGATGTGGTTCAAAACGTCGCTAAAAGTTCGGGCCTGGAAATTCTAAAGAAAACATTTAATTCAAATTTTAAATGATATTTTTCCTAATTGTTATTCTAGGGTTCACGCTCTGAATTATCTGCCTTGTGAACCAGTTCAAACCTGATAAAATAAGAAAAATAATTTCAAAAGAAAAAAACTAAAACTTTTTACGTTTTGTTATTCGACGTTTTGTACCCACTCCCAATATCTGAGACATTAGAAAAATACCATACGGTTAGAAAAATACCATACTGTTAGAAAAGTACCAGCATAGCGTAATGTAAGATAAATACCGCACTGTTAGAAAAATACCATACGGTTAGAGAAATACCATACGGTTAGAAAATACCATACGGTTAGAAAAATACTGTACGGTTAGAAAAATACCAGCATAGCGTGATGTAAGAAAAACACCACACTGTTAGAAAAATACCATACAGTTAGAAAAATACCATACGGTTAGAAAAATATCGTACTGTTATAAAAATACCAGCGTAGCGTAATGTAAGAAAAATACCGCACGGTTAGAAAAATACCATAAACGGTTAGAAAAATACTGTACTGTTAGAAAATTACCACACGGTTAGAAAAATACCAGCATAGCGTAATGTATGAAAAATACCGCACTGTTAGAAAAATACTAACGTATCGGAATGTATGAAAAATACCGCACTGTTAGAAAAATACCAGCGTAGCGGAATGTACGAAAAATACCTTACTGTTAGAAAAATAGAAACCGAAATATATATAGATTGTGGACTAACATTTGTTTTCTTTCTAAAATTACGGAACAAAATACAAAATTTACGCTTTTATAAAATTAAACGATGGGAAAGATACAAGATTACTTAAGGAGCTATTTTAATTTAATTTAATTTTTCAAGAAAATAAATACTTTCTTGGAAAATATATTTTTCATTAAAAAAACTCTAAGAAGTATTAAAAACAAGATTAAAAGTAGTTTCAATATTGTTCTTAAGTAAAGTGCACAAACAGTTCTTAAACAAATCAGAGGCGTACACGCAAGGGGGAAGCTTTGAAGGTTCAGCCCCCCTAGATCAGTAAAATCTATAGTTTCCAGGGGGTTTTCAGGTTATTGATATTTATCAGTTAGAAACTCTTTAGTCTTTACAGTTCACAGAGATATTAATATTGATCAGTTAGTTCACAGAGATATTAATATTGATCAGTTAGTTCACAGAGCCCGAAACTTAAGACAGAGAATTGTAATGAAACCCAGTATCGATACCCCGGTTTCATGAATGGGGTCAGGCAGCTTTGTAGAAACCAATATTTTTGTTCAGAAAAATTATTTCTTATGTTTTTTAGCATTCTCTTTTTGTTTTCTGATTTCTAAAATTAAAATCTACGCAAATGTCCAATTATACTCTCTATGNTCTATGATTACCTAGATCAGTCAGGAACTCTATGATTACCTAGATCAGTAAGGAACTCTATGGTTACCTAGATCAGTCAGGAACTCGTCATAGTTCTCCGAGGATTCATATTTATATTCTCCCAAAATATATTCAGGTAAAGGTCCATCAGCGGCAAAACTCAGGCAGGCCAAGCTAGAAAATGGTAATAATAAGGGACTCTAGAAACATAATTTCCACTGACTCTCATTTCGAAAGAACAGTAAGTGCTGTTATTATGCGAGGGTACGTATATCTGTTGCATAAAAGGACACTGGGTAACCTGACTGGACAGTACGAGTGAATGCATATGCAGATCGTGCTACTTTAAGACTGGAGAATGTCAAATGACCCTCCATGTAAAGATGGCAATGCCATACTCACACCGTTATCCGTGAAAAATATTATTAATGATGTCGAAGATATTGTCGTTTTTCTTGCTTTAAAAGTGTTATAATTTTTGATTATTCCTATACATGGTTTCTCCTGCAGTAGAAAAGCGCAAGTCACTTGAAATGAAAAACGTTGATATCTAATTTATACTTGATCAGACAAAGCTTTTAATGACACTGTTGTGAATCTGACATTACCATTTTTGCATGAAATTACTTGAAATTACGCCTACATAGTACATACATAGTACATACATAGTACATACATAGTACATACATAGTGCATACATAGTACATACATAGTACATACATAGTACATACATCTACTTGAAAAAGCTGGTATGTGCAGTTCACAACAGTTTAGCCATAAAACATACATCTACTTGAAAGAGCTGGTATGTGCAGTTCACAACAGTTTAGCCATAAAACATACATCTACTTGAAAGAGCTGGTATGTGCTGTTCACAACAGTTTAGCCATAAAAGCACTGTCACACAAAGAAAAATCGCGCATTTCTGCTTTAGTAACAATGAAAAAATTGTCAGAATTGAGCACTGTATAAGCAAGAAAATTGATGATATCTTCCACATTATAGCGTTTATGATTAACGATACTGTACATAAAAGCTCCAATTTCTAAACATTTTCAGAAATATCAGTTTAAGCAAAATCCTTAGCGAAATTTTACGTAAAAAGAAACAAAGACGACAATAATTCCATAGTTTTCTGGTTTTCACGGTAACACTTTAAAACTCACCATAAGCCAAGAAAAAAAACTTTCATCATTCTGTGAATTAATCTCTTTCAATTTTAGAATAAAAAAGAATTATTGTTAAAGAAGAAAATTTATAAGTTTGGGTAGAACCGTAGGGGGGCATCGGGGCGAGGGGGGGGGTAGGGGAAGGGTACAGCAGACAGTTTTCACAAATATAAAGGACATAAAAGGCTAAAATCTGCATGTTTCGCGCGCAATAAATATATGAATTGTCACCCTTTAACAATTGAATTAGCCGCCCCAGAGCCTGGGATGGATTTTTAAAAAAATTGTGTGAACCCCTGAAACGTAAATGAATAAATTCAAAACTGAAGATTAGCCTAGATATTTGTTAAGATGCCGTCAAGCAACTGATAATTCTTGTTAACCTCAACATTTTTATATCTCAGCCAACCATAATGCCCAGGCTTTAAACAGTTTGGGAAAATAATTTTATAATTTTACAACAGTTTAGGAAAATATTATGTTTATTTTATAACAGTTTAGGAAAATATTATGTTTATTTTATAACAGTTTAGGAAAATATAAGGCTTATTTAAGAAGAGGCTAGAAAAGTAGTTTAAAATTTTTTATACGAATTTGTTATAGTTCTAGAATAAATACACTTGTTGTTAAAAGTTAGGGAATATAAAATGTTGATTTTCTGACAGTTTTTTTCATATCATACAGGGTTACTCACAAAGAATGAGACTGCAAAGACGACCAGAAACTCTTAAAATAAGACGATCCCAAGTTTAAATTAGCCTTAAATATAGTATTTTAATGGTCTATTTAATAATCTGACAAAGAAAGAATCAAATGAACAGTTGCAGAGAATCATGAATGTAAAGAAACATATTGTATAAACTCACTATACAATCGTCTCTGAAGTCTCATCCTTTGTGGGGGACCCTGTATTCATCCCGAAAAATGCCTAGGCACAGAAATGTTTCTTGAATCTTGGGGCTCAGGTCTTTCAACCCTTTTATGCATCCAAGACTTTAGTCTTTGCTTGTTCTGAAGATCTACATAAACAAAGGTTTGTAATTTATCAAATAGATCTTTAGAATAAATTACGGTTAATATACTCCCACATGTACTTTTGAGTTGTCTTTCATTTTATATTTATTTTTCTATGCTGAATCTGTGAAGTCATGTTTTCTAATTGGACAAATTATCGTCTTTCTTGACACTTGTGACGTCATGCAAAATTGATCCATTTTTCTGTTGCCATAATCATCTATAGTTGCCGTGGTAATGTATTTGGTAAGTTATATTTAGACTACAACAATTCAACAATTAGATCGGACATTAATTTTTTTCAAATATAAATTCATTTAAATCCAATATTTTAAAAAAAAAATAAACTTTTTTCAAAATTAGATTTTTTATTTTACAATGTTGTGAAGTTTAGGCCTTTTTACCTTTTCTATTTCAGTAAAGCAAAAGGTTAAAGGGACCATATAAAGATGTCAATGCTGTACTCACAACGGGACAGTTGAAACCTTTAAATAATAAAGAATATACTTTCGTTCTTTAAGGTTTAAAAGATTTTACGAGAGATTTTTGTAGATAGACCACAATTGAAAATTATCTTTTTTTTGAGTTTATAAACATTGATATCTGACCAAGCTTTTGAAGGTACCGTTGTGAATCTGGCGGTGCTAAAAGGCGAACAAATCTAGTTTTAAAAATTTTTGTAGATTTTTTGCCCTGTGCTTCACAAAAATCTGTAAAGGTTCAATCATTTTAAAATTGTATTGCGTAAAAGTTTTTTTTGTTAAGAATGGTATCCAAGAGAAAATATTAAAGAGCATAGAATATATATTAGAGTGGAATTTAGTCGAAAAAAGTGTAAAACGGCCATTTTGTTGTAATGTTTCCATACTGCAGGTGTACTTCACACATTTGTGCTATATAACCTTTTGGGCCCTGGAGCATCATTTTATAGAAAAGTTTTCTTAAAGATTATTTTATTTTCTTTAAATTAATTCTCTGATAGCCTGTCATGCCCACGTGGATAAAAATCAATCTAATATTTATTTTTGCATTAAAAACATATTCCTATAATTGTAGCCTGCAGGTAATCAAAGAGGGAAATCCAATATTTACATGAATTGTACACTTTGAACTCCCTTTCAGGCTGAAAGGGACTGACAAAATTCATACCGAGGGATTGTCTAAATTCCACTCTAATATATATTCTATTCTCTTTGGAAAATATAAAGAAAAAAGAACCTAAAAAGTATTGTCTTTTTGGATTGTTATTTGGCTTCTGCGTTAAAATTTGAGATAAAGTATAAAGAAAACTGAAAAGCCATGAAATTGTCGCTATTTTTATACGAATTTTGAGGAAACTTTTTAAGCTTTAAAAGTTTAGAAAATAGTCTATTAGTGAATGTACACTGTACAGTGTTCAGGGAACCCCCGAGCCCGAAATTTAAAAGAGTATCGTTAAACAAAACTCGGGAGTTTCCTTTTTGGGGTCTTAACATTTATGTAGATTTTGATTTAAGAAATTCGAAAAAAATGGAAAATATAATCAAACTGAAAAAAATTATATTTCATAACAAAAATATTGATATTCACAAAACAGTGTAACCCCATTCGTGAAACCCGGGTTTTAAAACTGGTTTTCTTAACGATACCCTGTCTTAAGTTTTGGGCTCTGGCCTTCATGAGCCTCCCAGATTTGCTATGCAGCACTGAGCCTCCACTATGCCGTGCAATTTTTATACTAAAACTTCAAAAGGAAGATAGAAAGAAAATTATTTCTCAAATAAAAAGTGATTTGATTTAATAAAAAATTTGATTGAAGAAATATCTTTTTGTAAATAAAAAAATTAGATAACTCTTTGAAACAAGATTTATCTAAAAATAAATAATTTTGCGCAAAAAAACGTCTCAATTTTAAATATGAAATTTATACTGCATAGTGAAGGCTCATGGCGGCCAGGGGTTTCCATCCCACGTTTAACATTATCCTGCTAGAGCTAGTTTTCCTTGGTTCAATAAACTTCAATACCGAGGATATTAGTTCATTCAAACATAAACAATTTCCCTTCGTCATTTTAATAGGTCTGAGCAAAATTCCGTTTACGAACTCAAACTTTGAAAAATCCACGCTAACTTTGGTTCACGAACAGAAAGGTTAATGTTTTCATCTGTTAATGTTAACTAACTTTATAATTGTGGATATCGAGATCAATGCTTTATCTTCTCTTTTTCTAAATTAATTTAATCTTAAGATTGTATCAACAAAAGTGTATATGACTCAAACAATCAAGTGGGGTTTGGAGAAACCAGAACAGCCAATCAGAGAAGTTGTAAATTTTGAAATTTTGCGCGATATTTAATGGTTGAACTCTCATTGGTCGGAATCTGGCAGGGAGAGAAAAGGAAAAAAATACGTTGATTAAGAAGGAAATTTAAAGTGTTCATATTGGATATTCAGATTAAGTGATTGAGATTAAAGGTATCCAATTCTAAAGTTTTCAGCTCTGAACGTTGAGTTCAAAGATAATACGAACGGTTTGGGAACATGGTTATCTGTGTTGTAAATATAAGTTTATACGGAATAGTCAAGAAAATACAGACACGTGCCCAGCCCTACTTATTTTAAACCTAAAACCCAGATTAGAATCTCAGAGATATTTCCTTTGTTATAAAATTTTTCAATTATCCTCATCCACTCTCATTCCTCATACCCCTCATTCCTCCTGCAGTTCCTCTCATTCCCCTTATTCCTCCTACAGTTCCCCTCATTTCCCTCATTCCTCCTACAGTTCCTCTCATTCCCCTTATTCCTCCTTCAGTTTTTCTCATTTCCCTCATTCCTCCTGCAGTTCCTCTCATTCCCCTTATTCCTCCTACAGTTCCTCTCATTCCCCTCATTCCTCCTTCAGTTCCTCTCATTCCACTCATTCCTCCTTCAGTTCTTCTCATTCCCCTTATTCCTCCTTCATTTCCACTCATTCTTCTCATTCCTCCTTCAGTTCCTCTCATTCCCCTCATTCCTTCTTTTCTTCTACAGTTCTTCTCATTCCCCTCATTCCCCCTAAAGTTCCTCTCATTCCCCTCATTCATCCAACAGTTCCCTTCATCCCTCCGATATAGTTCCTTTAATCCCTCCTTTATAGTTCCCTTCATCCCTCCGATATAGTTCCTCTCATCCCTCCTTTATAGTTCCCCTCATCCCTCCTACATAGTACCCTTCATCCCTCCTATATAATTCCCTTCATCCCTCCTATATATTTCCCTTCATCCCTCCTATATAGTTCCCTTCATCCCTCCTATATAGTTCCCTTCATCCCACCTATATATTTCCCTTCATCCCTCCTATATATTTCCCTTCATCCCACCTATATAGTTCCCTTCATCCCTCCTATATTGTTCCCTTCATCCCTCCTATATATTTCCCTTCATCCCTCCTATATAGTTCCCTTCATTCCTCCTATATAGTTCCCTTTATCCCTCCTATATAGTTCCCTTCATCCCTCCTATATAGTTCCCTTCATCCCTCCTATATAGTTCCCTTCATCCCATCCTATATAGTTCCCTTCATCCCATCCTATATAGTTCCCTTCATCCCTCCTATATAGTTCCCCTCATCCCTCCTATAAAGTTCCCTTCATCCCACCTATATAATTCCCTTCATCCCACCTATATAGTTCCCTTCATCCCACCTATATAGTTCCCTTCATCCCTCCTATATAGTTCCCTTCATCCCATCCTATATAGTTCCCATCATCCCTCCTATATAGTTCCCTTCATCCCTCCTATATAGTTCCCTTCATCCCTCCTATATAGTTCCCTTCATCCCTCCAATATAGTTCCCTTCATCCCTCCTATATATTTCCCTTCATCCCAGCTATATATTTCCCTTCATCCCTTCTTTATATTTCCCTTCATCCATTTTACTTATACTTTTTTTCTGTGTATGTATGCGTAAATTCAATTGGAGTTCTTTGCACTTGATCAAAACCAGTGAAAGGTTTAAAGGGTATAACGTACATTGAAAATTTCCCTCTGGGAATAGAGGATCCCTTGAAACTATAGTTGATTTTCAAGGCTAGCTAAACTTTGCAAAATGTTTAACTCTGAGTTCTATTTTCAAAAGTATAAAGAAAAATCATATAAATTTTATTTGAAAATGTCAAGGGTTATAGCTTTTTATAGATATATATTTTGATATTTATATTTTGAATCATATCAGAAATCCTGTTCAGTCCTTTTAGTCCACCTTTTAAAGGGACAGTAGTCTATACTGAGTGGTATAAGGTACTTCCAAAAGAATTAACCCGAACGGCTACCTCCCAAGGGTAATTTCAAATTGAAAATTTCCTAAATGTGCAATTTCCCAAATGTGAAATATCCCAAGCGGCTACGCCCCCAGGGTTAGGACGTTAGGCCTTCTGAGGCGCCGCAGACTGCAATGAGGGCCAAGCACTGCAGTTAGGTTGGCCTAGGGGGCTAAGTGCCGCGCCTAGAAGAGGCTGGGGGCCGAGCGCTGTGGCTAGGACAGACTTGGGAAGTTACCACCTGGGAAAATTCCTTTGGGAAGTTCCCACTTGGGAAAAATCCTTTGGGAAAGTACCTAAAATCTACTTAGTTACCCAAAGTTAAAGATAAAAAAGGTATTGAGTCTGTAACACAATCTCAAATTTTCTCAGTCCAATATCTAACTTTGCAACCTGATGGTGTTGATATTTCAAACTAAGATTACTTTTTTTAACAAAATTTCACATTTTGAAATATCAAGGTTTGTTTTAGCAAGTAAAGAGTCAATTATATAGTAGAGAAAAAAAGGAAGTAAAATTATCATGCAGTTCTTGTCGTTTTTGATTATAATACCATTCTTTGTCGTTGATTCACAATCAAAATAGACCCAACGTAGACCTAGCCTGACTTTATACATGCACACATGGTAAATTAGAATAATGATAACGTGTAGGATCAAATATGGCTAAGTGCTGCAGTTATAGCACACTAGGGGGTCAAGCGCTGCAGCTAGGACAGACATGGGGGCTGAGCGCTGCAACTAGGTCGGGACAGAACCGGAGTTTTTAGTGATATGGGGATAGGTACATCGGATGGTATTCATAAAATGATAATTAAACCGTCCGACAACAATTAAACAATAATTCTAATTGGTTGTTTTTTTCAGAGAGAATTTGCGCGATGTGAGGCTCTCGGTTTAAGAGAGATGAGAGTTAGAGAGCAAGGATCAATCATTCCGTTGTTTTCACTCTTAGAGTCAAATATCCATAGTCGGAGATACTTTCGGAGTCAAGTATACATTGTCGGAGATATTTTCGGAGTCAAGTTTACACAGTCGGAGATACTTTCGGAGTCAAGTTTACACAGTCGGAGATACTTTCGGAGTCAAGTTTACACAGTCGGAGATACTTTTGGACTTAAGCATACATAGTTAGAGATACTTTCAGAGTCAAGTATCCATAGTCGGAAATACTTTCGGAGTCAAGTATACATAGTCGGAGATACTTTCGGAGTCAAGTATACATAGTTGGAGATACTTTCGGAGTCAAGTATCCATAGTCGGAAATACTTTCGGAGTCATGTATACATAGTCGGAGATACTTTCGGAGTCAAGTATATATAGTTGGCGATACTTTCTGAGTCAAGTATACATAGTCGGAGATACTTTCGGAGTCAAGTATTCCATAGTCAGAGTTACTTTCGGAGTCAAGTATTTTAGTCGGAGATAGAAAATTAACAATGTAGGGCAGAAATATTTAACACAAGAAGGTTAGTAAATTAGACTGTGACTGAATTCGAGCTTCGTCGCTAATTTACTTACTGCCTGTTCAAATTTGAACCACTGCACCGATTCAAAATTAGAGGTTAAGGAAAGGATTTAAATCGGTGATTAAAATTTTAAACGGCGGTGGTAAGCAGTATTTTTTTCACTTGGGTTTTCGCTAATCATATACCCAAGAAGAATTGGTACACCATTAATATTTTTGTCGTAAAACAGTTCGGTTCAGCCGTTTGGACGAATTAGAATACTAAAAACAGACAAGCCAAAAACGTTTACAAACATACACTACAGATTAAAATTAATTTAGATAGAAACTGATCAGTGATCAATTGAAACAAACTCAAATTTTCTAATCCCGTCATCTTTGCAACCTGATTGTGTAGTGTACATCTTTAATATGTCCAACTTGGACATTGACTTTACAATTTTGAAGTAGTATTATGTTTTATTCTCTCGGTATTTTTTGACAGTAAAATTCCCAAGCATGATTTAAATCAATTTTAGAATTCCCCTTAAACTATCTTTCTTATAAAACGTCCTATATCCACGGTCCCTTGTCCCTTAAAATTATATATTTTCCACAAATAAAAGAGTTTAAGGTATAGTCATAAAGGAATTTATTAAAATTTAAGGGTTTTAAACTATTAAGAATTAATCAAATTTGATAAAATTAAATTATTCAGAATTTTTTTTACTAAAACTTTTTCGATTAGATTGCGATGAAGGAGGAAGAGACTAGAGTCTCTGAAATTCTTCAGTACTATTTAGATGGCTATGGCATGGTGAGTTTTATTTTTGCACATTACCCTCGCTAGGGAGTGGCAGGTCCAATTGACATTGGTACCTTCTGAACCTTTGTTTGATCAAGAATGAATGATATATCCTTGTTTTTCTAGTAAGAAATAGATTTTGATTAATTGGTGTTTATTTCTAGAAGTTCACACTTGTAAAACAGACATGTCACTTTTTAAACAGTAACGTCTCGTTATATTTATGTTTTTTCGTTTCAAGATAGAACTTTTTTATTTTTCGTGTGTTTAAAATTCATTTATATAACTATTGTTACAACTATAACTATAGTTATAACTATATAAATATAATTAATTGGGCAATTAGAGGTTGAAACTTTCGATGAAAAAGCGTTAACTTACTCCACTAGAAATCAAAATCAAGAGCAGACACTTTTTATGTAATGAAATTGAGTGATTTATCCGTCACTTTTTATGTATGAAATTGAGTGATTTATCCGTCATTTTTTATGTATGAAATTGAGTGATTTATCCGTCACTTTTTATGTATGAAATTGAGTAATTTATCCGTCACTTTTTATGAATGAAATCGAGTGATTTATCCGTCACTTCTTTTGTATGAAATTGAGTGTTTTATCCGTGAAAATTGAAGTTGATTCGTAATATCTCTTATTTTTTTATTGCGAAAAGTAGTGGCGTATCCAGGGGGGGGGACTGCGCAAATAGTCAAAATCATGTTGCCAGATGCTCTGGACTATGTAAATAGCTGTACAACTGTTTATATTTCAGTTAGTCTGGGCCTAGCCCTAGTTTAACTCACTTACAATTTAATAAAACCCATTTATGAATTGGTTCATGTTTTTTCTATTTACTATTTGTAAAAGTCACTGGTTATGTGGTCTCCAGGTCGTGGAGGTAGATAGTTAGTTGTCTCACCACAGTTTAAGCTGAAAGATTTCCGGATAAAGGAAATAGAAATTTCCGGATAAAGGAAATAGAAATTTCCGGATAAAGGAAATAGAAATTTCCGGATAAAGGAAAATGGTAATTTAAAAAAGAGACTATAAATATAAACTAAACAAACGATACATCACAGGGGGGGGGGGGCTGAATCCGTATAATACCTGTTTTTGGATGTAGTAGCCATTAGACCGACTTTATATCAAATGTTTAGCCTATATTTGGATGGATATTTTAAGCCTTATATCCTACTCCATATCTAACGTTTAGTCTACATTTGGATGATCACTCATCTGGACTATATATTGGCCCTATATCCATCTTTTTTTAAACAATTTATTTTTTAAACAAAATTTTTTTTTTAAACAAAACTTTAAAAGATTATTGAATTTTTTTCTCCAACTGTAGTATTTCTTTTTATCTGATCATACATCTGTTTTCTGTTCTTCTTTTTTAGATCTACGCATTATAATCTCTTGTAGACTTGGGAAAATGCATTTTGACACATATTTTTGATTATTACCGTCTTGTTTATGCATGGTCTGACTAAGCACTCCAGCTTTTTAGAATAAAGCTTTCTCAGCGCCTATGCTTAGCTAACAAGGAAAGCTTGGGAGACATATTTATTTTATTCTTACAGGGTGGAAAAAATAAAAGTCACTGCACAAAGCAGGGTTTGCAAATTTGCAAATATCCATTGTCAGAATTCCGCCCCCTTACTAATGACAAGGTTATATAAGAAAGCTTAGGAAAGGAGCGGTATATTAAATCGGTTTAATCTCGGACAGTACTTTAGAATACGGCCTCGTCTACAGCTATCTTTTCCCCGCAGCTGGCAGAGTATAAACTGGTATCATAGTGCATGGTGCACAAACTCTCAGGATTCTACTTTTTATGTTTCCATTTTCAATGTTTCTGGCAAGAGGGAAGGGGAAGAGAGAAAGAAAACCCTCCTTTTCTGCACTATTATATTTTTCTTTCCAGTAGGGTGCACTGTCCTATTGTTCCACACAGGGTTCTGTTCAGCCACAAGAAATTGGAGAGAGTTGAATACGAACCTGACTGTTCTGAGCTGTCTTCATGCTTACACACAGAACCAGATTCAATTGAAAGAATTAACGCCTTTCCAATGATTTCGGATACTTAATAACAGCTAACCAGGCTTGTTATTAAGGAGTATATTTAAAGCTGATAGTAGCAAAGTCTGGATCCAGCTAGCTAAAAACCTCCATTCTCCAGGTTAATACAGGGCTAAAAGATTAATGCAGGCCTCCAATGTTTCTTGTAGATCCGTTTTTTCTTTTCCATTTGTGTGCAGGGGTGTATAGCCCCCATTGTACACTCCTGGCTAAAGTTTCTCTAGTTTGCCATTTTCTCTCTCTCACCCTGTATCTCCGAATACTTTAAGAAGCGCCTCTCAAGACCTTGTAGTTGCCTCTCTGAAAGCTGAATGTAAACTGATTATATCCAACTTTATATCTAATGTTTAGTCTATATTTGGATGTGTGAGCCTTATATCAAACTTTATCTCAGCTCTGGTTCATCTCAAATATAAGGAATATATTTTAAAAGATTGATCTTTAAATATCATTAAACTACATGTAAAGGAACTGAGTATTTGTCACAAACTTTTGCAACCCGATTTTGTGGACCTTTGATTATATTCAAACTATAAAATATTGTTATGATTAAAGTCAGGTCCTTTCATAACAGAAAAATATATATCAGGCATAAAGCCTTTTTGCTTGTAGATATAGCAAATCAAAATGGAAAGCCTGAATTTCAAATTGTTTCATTTTCGAAATCTTGAATGTCAATGTCGAAACATAAAATCCTTCTGTCTTTATTGTCGTGAATAATAAAGCAAGAATAAAAGAAATGTTAAACTTTGAATGATTTATTTTAAAATGTGCCAAAATTAGGGAAGATCAACTTTCGACAATTTGGTGATAATGCTATCGGTCAGTGACCTTTTATTCGTTCTTGTTGCAGTCACAGAAATGTCACTTATTACAGGTAAAACTCTTTCCTGATTTCCCCTTTCCCCTTTTTCCTTTCTCTTTCCCCTTTTCCCTTTCCCTTTCTCCTTTTCCCTATCCCCATTCCCTTTCTCCCTTTTCCCTTTTTCTTTTTTCCTTTCCCCTTTCCCCCACTTCCCTCCTTCCCTTTCCCCTTCCCCTTTCCATTTCCCTTTTCTCAAAGGAGCGATTTCAGTTAATGAGAATATTTATAAAATAATAATAAAAAAAATAAAAAATTTTGTTTAGTTTTCCAGTGGCCGATACACCCGAGGCATCCTTTGATGTTCCTGCTAACTCCCAAGTTCTTTTATCCAATGAAGAACATTCTCAGCAACCTCAGGAACATAATCATAAAGCGACCCTGACATGCATGCCCTTTTTAAAATCTTAAAACTTTCATCTTTACTACATTAAAATTTAAAAAAGCTTTATGTTTATCATTTGTTGGTTTAGTATGTTTTTAACCCTGTCTATAGCTATAGAGAGGTATATGGCAGTCTGCAAACCCTTAACTCACAGGTATATATTTAGAGTTATTGGTTCACACTCACGTGACACGTCAAATTGAAGTAAATTTCACGTTAGATTGAACCATGGGCTCAGATCTGAATTGCACCGTTCATGGTTTTTTCTTTAGCAAAATTGAGTGAAGTATTTGAATTTTTACAATTTTTGTGTAATGTGTACATTAAATTCGCGAATATAAAAAAGTATTTTTTTTGTTAGCGTAACTTCAAGTATAAGTCGGGTATTGCAAAGAATGCAATACACGACTTATACCAGTTGTTTTTATGGTACCATTGTAAGTCGAGTACCGCCCTCTTTGGGTGACTTGAAATCACGCTTACAGTCCCTTTCAGAAAAAATAATCTTGATTGTGCAAGACGATTCTAGTTATTTTTTAGTAATATTTCTCTCCTTTAATTAGATTCATATTTTTCACAGAATTAAATATCTAGATTTCAATTATAATTTAAATTTACAAAAAAGTGAGGAAAATAAAAAATTTGCAAATCAAAAAAACTCACCTCACTTATTTAAAAACTGACATTGAAAAATTAACTTTCAAAAAAAACTTTTTATCAATATTTTCATTTTTTCGTTTTTTATATTTATAATAGAGTTTTCATCCTCATAGATTTTTGATAAAAAAAGCAATTTTTAAGAAAAAATAATTTTGTTAACCATTAATTTCAAAACCTCTATAAAATGTCGTCTTCTACTGGAATCTCCTGTCGGAGACAGCCAAACCAAATTTTCAGCCCGCAAATTCCATTGTCCTCCTCCGACGGAGCTTAAAATATTTTCGTTGTTGTGAAATCATTAAAGTTAAGCAAAATATTTTCATAAGAAGCATAAGTGAATTTCGTTAAATATTCAACTGTAATTTTTCAGAAGTTAAAAACGTATTTCAATACTGACCAACAAATAAGTCACCCCTTCTATCCTTAAATAATTCGTAAGATTTTTTCTACTATTAACATTCATTATAACATTGTACAATTAAACATGACCTATAATTTATGTTATTTTTTAGGAAATAAAGATTTTGTTATCGAATTTCTGAGACGGGGTTACTCTGTTGTGTGTGTATTGTTCGGCCATCGGGGAAAGAATTGTCTGGGGATAATAAACATCCCCCACCAGAATCCTTACCGGCCTACTATTCTGATTTGTCTAGCGTGTTGCTGTTATCCGTCAACAAATTTGTATTTGTTTAGAGAACATTACATCACAGCTGAAAACTCATTTGTTACTTGTACATAAAATGGCATATTCTTAAATATGTATTAGATATATATATATGATTATACATAATATATATACTCTCGTTTGTATCGTATATCAAAGCATTTTCTTTCTTATTTGTCAAAATATCTTATTTCAAATGTAAGATTATAAGGTACGCTAACAGTGGGAGGCGGTAAATTGGTTGTAAATACAATTGTTTCTAAGAGCGAATTGATCCTGAAAAATAAAATTCAAACCAGATAATTACCTTAAATCTGAAATCTGAAATTTAAATGTCCGGAGATGGAATTTAAAGAATTTGAGCCGCGGTTTAAATCCGAAAAAACCCGGTTTAAATTAAGCGCCGGCTTAAATCTTGAAAGATTTGATACAATTTTAAGTGGAACCAACCATATTTAAACCGCGGCTTAAATTTAAACCGCCGCTCAAATTCTTTAAATTCGGCCAAGGGAAAATGTTTGTAAAATGATTAAAGTTCTGTTGAAGGGATCTGAAAGGAACATTCCTGGGGAGTGCTTGGATTCATCTCATCGTGTCCACAATCCTAGCGCTGGGGATAAACGTCACAAAATGGTTCGAAACTACTGTGGTATGTATATATAGATACAGGGAGAACCAAAAACTCTTGAAAAGGAAGGCGACTTTTGGGCTTATATATGTATTTATAGATTAAAAATAAGAGAAATAATTGTCATTTTTATACTAAACAGTTTTTGAATTTTAGCAATTTCCTTCTATGGTTTTGCAGTCTACACTCTATGCAGACTATACCTCTAAAATGTTTCTAAAATGTTTTTATCATAAAATATAGAAATTGAATTTCAAGAAAATTCAAAAATTATATTTACTTTTCCTTCCAGTTCAAATTTTTATCAAATTATTTTCCTAGAATTTTCGGTTAAACCAAGAAAATTTATTGTTTTGTATTTTTCAAAGAAAGTTTATTGTTTTATAAGAATGTCAACAAAAGAAATTGAGTCTTTGCCACAAACCTAAATTTTCTAATCTTTAAATCTTTGCAACCTGATGATGTGAACCTTTGATCATGTCAAACTTAGATTATTCAATCTAACAGAATTTGAAATATCTAAGGTCTACTTCATTGACTTGCAAAGAAATAAGGATAAGAAAATCAAAGTTTGTAGCAAACACTCAATTTCTTTATAGAGAACTTGTGGGCATGAAAGCTCACGCATACAAAGTAAAACGATATACCAGTAAGCCTGTTTCCATTTTGTTATCGAAGTTCTTCTATTTTTTACTCCAGATTGATTAAAAGATGTATGCTCAACGTTTTGCATTTTGCCGTCGTCTAATCATTAAATACACCCCGGTGTACCCTATAAACCATAGTGAACACTTGTAACACAAGCAAAGTGTTCTTACTATTCTTCCTTAATCTTAACTATTGAGATAAATAATTTTTGTCAAATGCAATCTGCATTAATTTACTAATGACTTAAAGAAAAATGGAACTCTCAGGCACAATTGAGTTGCGTCCTTCTGTCCTTTTTTCCGTCAGACATTTTTCTCTATTAAAATTTTTTTTTTAAATCTTTAGAATATTCCTCTGTTTTTTCTCTTTCATGTTTTGGAAACTCTAAGTTCTCTGCCTTCGTAAAAAAGTCTCTCCTATATTCTCCTACTTATCTATTTCTTCCTTCCTTGTGCTATCCTTGCTGCACATTAATTGGATCAACCTGTCCCATGTTTTGTTTAAATAAGACATTTTTTAACAAACCTGAATATATTCTCGTAATATTGACAAACTTAAAACATTTCGAAAGGGTTTTATTAAAAACTACGAACATAACGACACATATCGCTGACCTGGTTTTTAATTCTAGAAAGAGCGTAGTTATTTCCTCGGAGGGAAGTATGGAGATAGATCTGACCCTGCTCTGTGGAAAACCAAACTGGTTTACAGAATGACCGACATGCGAGCCAGCCCATACTACGTCAGGTATACTGTGAAAACCAGAAAACTCTGGAAGAGGAAGACGACTTTTAGACTCAAGTTATGACTTTTTAAAGCGTCATTTCATAAACGAACTGGTCTTGATGTAATATCAAGGGATCCTGTATATAAAGAATTAAATTTTGTCAACTAACTTCCTTTCCTCTCCTGCATAAATTCCGCAAGTCTCTTAAAAATAACTCAATTTTAGGTTTTAAATTCATTGTTTTTTTCTCAGTCAAAAGTCAAATGTTCAATGGCCCCGTTGTGAATCAATTATTGATGAACAGTCCCTTCAATTTTATTTTGTAGTTTTGGGATGGTTATTCCACGCTGGGTTTTCCAAATGTTGGCTCCTCTGATTCTACTCACAATATTTAGCATCCTCACAGGGATTAAACTTAGGTAAGTTCTTACATTTAATTCAAATTCATGTTTAAAATGACCCCCCCTCCTCTTTCTAGAAAAATTCTTGAGTTGAAAAAATGTCGTTTTTTCATTGGGGTTGTTATTAAAATAAACTGACTGAAAAATCAAACTTTTTGGTAAAAACAATTTGTTTTGAATTTCTCCTTTTTTTACGGAATAGAATTCAGTCTTTACAAAAAGCTCTGATTTTCTTATCTCTATATCTTTGCAACCCAATTTCGTAGACCCAGTTATTTCAAACTTTGAATTTGGTTAGATAAAATAATTTAAGTTTAAAATATCAAAGATTTGCACCATCATATAAGAATTAGAAAATCACCAGACTCAATTCCTTTAAACTTATTCTAGATCTAATTTATATTTGTATCTAGAGAGTTCCTGGCTAGATCAGAAAACAGAAAGGAGGTTCGTCCAACATTAATCACAGGACTCCTTATACTAGAGTTCATCCTACTCAATATACCAAGGTATGTACTGTACTGTACTGTACTGTACTGTACTGTACTGTACTGTACTGTACTGTACTGTACTGTACTGTGCTGTACTGTAAAGTCGTGAATTCATTTCCATATATTTGGGACACCCTGTAGAGTGTAGAGTGATCAGGGTACCCTCTACCCATGGCCGATGTTCAGAGGGTGAAAAAATATTTCCAAAATTTAAAATGTCAATATTAGTTGAAATCTGTCAAAAGCAGAAAGATATCTTCAGTGTGTTCTTTTATAAATACATTTTGCAATTATCGACATTTTTATATAGTTAATTATATTCTTTTTTCATTTTCTATTTCTGATCCCAAGTCTACACAAATGTTTAGATCCAGTTAGAAGAAAAAAGTTTTCTTGTTTTCAAATCTTCTTTTTTAAACCAGAGCTGAATACTTTAGAATTTGATATCCCAATTACTTATTCTGAGTATCCAATGGACACACTTTTGATTTTCTTCTTAAACCGTTTTTTTGGATAAAGTAGAGAAAAATCAAAACCCGCTTTTTTAAAATTTAGAGAGTCCCTCTCATTTCTGTATAAAATCTTAAATGGCGCGCAAAATTTCAAATGTATTTGGTTTTTATCTGCGACTCTGATTGGTTGAATTTTGTACACTTTTCAGGATACAAGTACAAGATTAGGTTAGTCTCGATATTAAGAAAAAGAGAGGATCAAGCATTAATCTCAATTTCCCCCATTCTAAAGTTTTCAGCTCAGATTGTAAAGTGCAACTGGATTTAAACGAATCGACAGTAAAAAACTGCTCCCAATTCTTAGATAAAAGACGACCACAAAATAAAATTAATAAATTATTAAACTTTAAAAAACCCAGAATATTGAGCTGAAACTGACTAAATAATGATGCATTAGGGCTATAAATAGCTAAATCTGATAAAAATATTTTTTTTGAAAGCCTTGTTATACTAGATATATTAAAAAAGTTTTAAAAAATTTAAATACCACAAAAAGTCGTCTCTAAATGAAGTAACTAAAATCTAAAGTACAGAATGGTTATCAAGGTAAAAATGGGAAAAAAATTAAGAAAAAAAAACAAAGCTTACATTCTTTTAATAATGTATTATCTTCTGTTTAGGTATATTCTGATCATCTCGGAAGCTTTACTCAACACAAAGTAAGTTGACCATTGTAATGAAAAACTTTTTTAAACATTTTTAAAATGTTCTTTTTAAACAAGGAGACTAAAATATTAACCCTATTTGGCCTGGGGGGAAGGGGTCAATTTGCCCCCCCCCCTCTATCGTTTTTACAATAATTCAAAAATTGTTTTTGCCAAGAAGCTCAAATTTTCTGGATTTACTAACTAACCCATGCCCATCACATGAGGCTAAACTCTGAGCTTTTATACCTACTGCCTGAGTCCTCAAGCCTACTTATTTTACATATACCAGACTAAATCTATATTTAGACCTACTTCCAGTCTTTGTATTTCTACATTTTATTGCTCTTTGGACAAAAGCAAGAAGATTTCAAAATTTTTGCAAAGAAATTTTGCATAGAGTTTTGCACAGACGCCTTTAAAGGGAATTTGCACATTTTCAGTTTTTCTTGAATACACATTCAGGTTTTAAAAATTTTGCAAATGTTTTTGCACATTTGAATTTGCTGGGTCAAGGACTTTTCAAAAATGAATAATTTGTTGCAATTTGCGAAATTTATTTGTACAATTTTTGCTTTTTAACTATATTTCGCAATTAATATTTGGATTTTTTCAAATTTGCCATTTGTTGCCAGATTATTAAATAGAGCCTAATGGCTTTCCAAAAACGTATCAAATATTATAGATTTGTATCACAATAAGAAAATAAGAGGAGGGGCAGCCAGTCAGTAAACCAGGCGTCAGGCTAGATAGGGTTAAGACACTTGCTTTTACAAGGAATTAGGTGTTTGTGCGTTGGTTTTGTTTGTTAATTAAATTGTAAATAAACGTCTAAATACATTGTTACCTTCACAAAAGAATCCCTAATTATTAACTAGAGGAATAAAAATAGATTTTCTAACCAAGGTTTAAATAACTTAAGTTTTTTTTGTACAACACTCTCAGAGATTTCTCATGAACTTCCATAGAAATATTCCGGAAACATTCTGAGGAATTTCTTGCAGAAAAATTCCTGAGAAATTCTCAGGATTTCCGCGAGACTATGTCTTTTATGCAGTTCCCCGAAAAATCCGCAAAATTAGGGACCAAGTCCTTAGTATTTCTCAGGAATTTCCGGAGAAGTATTCCGCAGAAATTCTCAGGAATGCCTTTGGAAAAATTCCTCTCAAAACTTTGAACCCCAAAAAATCTCTAATATTGTTGACTAATTCCAGGGAATTTCTCGAGAATTTCCGAGGCATCATTCACAAGAACTAGTTCTCGAGAAATTCCTCGGAAATTCTTCAAAGCAAGTCACCAAAACTGGAGAACTTGGGGAAATTCCTAACTTTTGTTACCTGGGAAGAATCCATATTTAAAAAAAGGGCATTTACGATTTACAACGGCAACATTGAAATAAATTCATCTGTTCATTAATGTAGAAGATATAGTCGTTTTAGTCTCAAAAAATGAATAATTCTGACGGTTTCAGGCATTTCTTTCAAATATCACTTTTTTACAAAAATTACTTTTAAACATTGTATATGTTATTGAACAAACTAACTTTTAAGTGTACTGTTGGTATTCAGACATGCCATTCTACAAATGGAAGGTCTCTTGAAACCGTCCCCAAATACACTCCAAGTCCCAACAGCGATAACTAATGTTTTTTTTCTCTTTTTAGAACTCCACCAGACTGGTTCTTCTGCCTTATGAGGTTCGTATTTTTACCATAAAAATCATTTTAAAAAATGTAAATTTAAGAAATTTCATTCGATGTTTTTATTAGTGTTTATTTTCTTTTAAGTTTCCCTTGTTTCTTTTAGCTGAACATTGGTTAATTTCAAATGCTTCGAAAAAAATGGCTAAAGGCTACAGGGTACCGTAACGGTTTACAGTGAGAATCACTAAAACTTAAGTCAGTAGCTACCCTTTAAACAGAACCATGTCATGACTTGACCTGTATTATTAGTGTGAACAACCTGCTCCAGATCTTAAACACAAACATGAACTTCTTTTTCTACGCGGTGATGAACAAGAACTTCAGAAACGGCCTCAAATCTCTGTTTTTCAGGTATAGAATTTCCTGCGAATTTTTTGGGAAAATTTTTTAGATCATTTTAATTATTAAAGAAAGTTTTTAAATTTTAGAACGCAATTACTAATATTGTTGTCCGATATTTTATACTTGTATGATCTTTGTTCCCAAACAAGTATTTTTTAAATGACAAGTTTACAAGTAAACAAAGAGAAGTTGTAAATTGACAACTTCTCTTTGTTTAAATATTAAAGGTTCTAGTTTCTTCAATTTTTAAAAGAAATAATCTATACAATTTCAAATTGTCAATCATTAAGCTCAGGCCCGTAACCAGGATTTTTCCAGGGGGGTGGTGCAAAGTAGCGCGTCGCCGGTGAAATTTTTTTTTTTTTTTTTAAAGCAATGCTTGGTTTGTTTTTACGGTGGTATATGGTTTTCTTTATTACATTGTCAATGTACGCTATAAAGACTAACCTTTTTAACAAGTGTATTTAAGCTTTTAAGGGTTACATTTTAGTGTCTGAAACTTTTCAGTTTACATATACAATGTACATAAAAAATAAATGAATGTTACTTTAGCTTAAGGAAAAAATTCATTATTTAAAATCAAGGCTTCTTGTCCCTCGGCCTCATCATGATATTATGAAGATGAATAAAATTTCTAATATTTTGTTTAAAAGAGTTTATTTATTGACATTGAGACATTGAGACATTCTTAGTGAATTTTTTAGTACTAAAAAAACCTTCTACTTTGACTAAAAATGACAAATATCCTCACTTAAAATAATGTTTTTGAAACTCCCAAAAATGGCTATTGTATTCCAAAATAAATGGACGAATTTTTTCCTTTTAACCAACTGTTCAAACTTTAAAGGATGTTTTACTTTGTATAAGTATTTGATTTCAGAGATGTCAAGTTTGACATCTCTAGATTTTAGAAAATTATGAGAAACAATTACTTTTATATGGGACGGGGGGGGTGTGTAAATTTGTCATTGCACCCCCCTTTTGAGAAGAAAGGGGGGTGCACCTGCACCCTTGCACCCCCCCCCTGGTTACGGGCCTGATTAAGCTTTATCTTCTATTTTTCTGCATCCTGTGATTAAATGTAAATATAGATTTAATAAAAATGATTTTTAAACAGGGTTACCCACAAAGGTTAAGACTTTAAACACGACCTAAATATGACAATCCCATGGTTAAAATAACTCTTCTGCCTTGAATATTGTCTTGTTTAATAATCTGGCAAAGATAAAAACAAGTTTACAGATGCAGAGAATCGTGATTATGAGGAAACAGACAGTATAATTTCAGCACAATCGTCTCATTCTTTGTATTTAATCATTTAATTGAAATATATTTCTTGCAGAAGATGTCAAACTGATAGCCAAGGACCAATTGTGGATGTTTGAAGTATTTGAGAAGACTAGCTCAATTTCCAGTCGGAATATGTTTCTTGTATGAACAATTGGTCCGTTCTAAAGACGTACTTTATAGGAATATAGTTTGGCCGTTAGATGTCTGTTTCACGTCGTCTGGTCGGCCATTGTTATAGTCTTGAGAAGAAACGTACTCTGAGCTAAAAACGTGAAAATAAGAGAAAGCAAGATGGCCGAATAAAACTAGTTCCGTTAGATTCGAGTTTGGATTCAACACAAGGGACAGGTCGTCATTGCATATGTTTTTTTTAATTGAGCAGAGAAATTCATTCATATCACCTCAATATCCAGTCCTAACCCTCCCGTCCGTTATGTTTACAGCAAATCAATACAATAAATCGTTTACCAAACGCTGATTGAAAAAAGATTGATGTATCCCTGATACAAACTTTTCTTGACATATTAAATTAACAATATTTTTTTTTTTTTTTTAATTCAATTCGGTGATAACATGACTCAAACATCAGCAAGATACAGATCCATATTGAGAGATAGCTAATGATAATCCAAAGATCTCAAGACTAAAGTTAGAATTTTAGATAAGGTTTTATCTATAATACATGTTTTTTTGTATGTAAATGTAATGTCTATATTTGTCAAATGAAGTGATGTAACCTTTACGGTTGAGTCAATTTGGTTTCAGTGAGTCTAATCAGTAAAAAAGCATTTTTTTTGAAGAGGAAAGAAGCTCAGATTTTTATTTCCTGTCAAGATTCATTAACTTTTTAAACCTTGCTCATATGGCATTGCAATTTAACAATAAATATAACCGTAACAAAAAAATAAAAACAATCATGTCAAAAGTCCAACAGGCTAAACAGATCAGTTTGACCACAGGGAAGGTTTATGGAGTTTTTAAGTCAACAAATGTTGCCCGAAAAAAAGTTGACATTTAACCCTATTCCTGCTGGGGGGGGGGGGGCCCCCTCCTGTAGTTTTTTTTTACACAAGTCAAAAACTATTGGTCTGACTGAGGCTATTGAAATTTTTGACTTTTCCTAAATACCCATAGCCTTCCCTTTAGGTCTAAACTGGGCTTTTATACTAATTGCCTGAGTCATCAAGTACAATGCCTGAATAACTACTACTGAATAACAAACTAAATCTTTGTTTTGACCCACTTTCAGTTGTCGGATTTTGATAATTTTTAGCTTTTTGGAAAACCTATGACATAAGAAAACGGAATGCACATTTTTGAACACAACCTGTCAAAAGACATTTGCACATTTTTAGTTTTTCATAATCACACATAAGGTTATTAAAAATTAGCAAATTTTTTTTGCATATTTGAAATGGCATGGTCAAAGGCTTTCAAAAATGTATATTTTATTATTTTTTGGACATTTTTTTGCACATATTTTTACTATATAACTGGATTTCGCAAAAGAAAATTAATTTTTGCAAAGAAATTGAGTATTTGCCACAACCTCTGATTTTCTAATCACAACAAGTTTGCAACCATATGTCGTAGACCTTAGATATTTCAAACTCTGAATTCTGGTAGATCAAATAATTTGAAATATTAAAGCCATCAACTTGCACAGATATAGGGATTAGAAAATTCAAAGTTATAGGAAAGACTCAATTCCTTTGCAAATTTGTTTGCGGATTCTAAAAGTAGCGCATTTGAGCTTTCCCATGATGTATCATTTTTCATATTTGGACATCAAACACGGGTTAAGAGGGGGGGTGGGGGCGTCAAATTGACCCCCCCCCAGCCTATCCTGGTTTTCAAGAAACCCAGCAGGGATAGGGTTAATAGTTAAATAGAAAAAGCTGAGAAAATTTGAGAACGATTAAAATTATGACTTTTATTGTTTAGTTATGTTTATTGTTATGTTTAGTTATTTACCTGCTTATGAGACTTTTCTACATTGTCATAACGTTTAGTATTTAATTAGAAACCTAAATAATTTCTATTAAAAAATACATTATATGTGAATGTGTACCAGTACAATATATTTTGGAACGTTTTTATCCATGTATTTTCTAAGCATTTTGAGTATTTAAGTACATCATTTCAAATACTTAAAATTTAAAATTTAAAGCCTATACTTTTCACAGGTTTCTCCGCATAAGTAAAACTTTACTTTTGTCAACCCTTTTTTAAAACTTTTGGATTTAGATGAAAATTAATATTCATGCTTCTAAATATATTCTAAATTTATACAATTCAACTTCTTTCTCGAGTGTTCCAAGGAACACTCGAGGGGTTCCTTGGGATTGAAGAAGATTGATTAGAAAAAAATGAATTGCCTTTAAAAAGATCTTTATATATATTATTGATGTGATAAAGTCAAGTTTCAGATTAACTAAATTTAAAAATATATGTTGTACTTTTGAACTGATCCCGCCTGAAAAGGGTGTTTGGACCAAAAACTCTTTTTCGTTTGGTTTAAAGAATTTCATTAAAAATTCCAAAAAAAAATATAATTCTTAATACTTCTCCTGTACATATTTCTACAATTTTTATACCAAAGTATTTAAAACTTTGCAAAAAGCAAATATTTCTCAAGCAAAATTGGTTTTAGCGCAACTTTTTTGCTTCACAAAATTTCAAGTTTTCTTATTTCTATTTTGTTATTAAAATAAAAATCATTTACTGTCTATAAGCTCATTTTATGTTAATTATTATTATTGTGCCAATTTAAAATCTTTAAAATTTGTAAAAAAAAACTTCTTTTTAAAACTCAAGATTTTTGTTTTAAAATGATTTTGAAGGTACATTTCATTTAAAAAAAAGTTTATGATGGATATGCCTTACTCTTAACCTACTTTATTAGGCAAATTCATCACACAGAAGTGTTAATGCGGAATTAAATAAATATTCTTACTAATGAGAGAGTGCATATTGCACTATACTATAAGTAGCCTTAGAGACCTTCTAAATTCAGGTCTGAGGGGTCTAGAGCTACTCTAGTAACACTTGTGAGAAAGTGTCATCTGTCTGGTGCTTGGATGCAAGGTTGTATAAAATGGTTGCTTACTCTCGATGCGCTCCAATGTACGGGAAATGTCGTTACTCGTCTCTTAAGCAAAGATAGATAAAATCCGTATATGACATCACTGATTATAGAGGCGCGAGTGACGTCATATGCGGATTTTATCTATCTATGCTGAGAAGACGGCATTTTCCGTACATTGGTGCGCATCGAGATTAAGCAATCTTATTATACAACCTTTCATCAAAACACCAGTTAGTTGCTTTCATGAGTTAGTATATTATAAAAACAGTGTATCAATACCTAGATTATAAAAACAGATTATTTAGTTAAAACGTACTTTATTATTTAACATGTCAATAAACTAATAAGAAACAAATAATTGGATTCTTTTCTTAAAGAATTCGTTTTAAAAAAACTTTAATGTTTGCTCTATTAGATTTTAAATTTCTATTCTGATGAAAATATTTTCAAAAATTAATTTTTACTATGTATTTTATATATATACAGTGATAACAAGAAAACTCCGAAATTGGAAAACGTTTTAAGACTCAATTTTTAAGTTTAAATAGTCCAATGAGCATGGGACACAGCAATTGTGCAGTGTAAACAGACCCATTTCACTTAATTAATGATTTAATAAGCATCTAGTAAAACTATTTGCTTTTTAACATCAAGTACACTTAAGTTTTGCTGTAAATTCGTCTTCCTATACCAGAGTTTTTTGGTTATTACTGTATATTTATATATTATTTCAATAAATGTTTAAAAGAATTTTGTGATCTTTTAATAATTTTATTTATTTTTTATCTTAAGTTTTTCTTTCATTTTTTTCTTATCTCTAGAAACTAGAGGCTTTCATTTGAAATAATAATATGTGAGTGAAAGAAAGATTTTTAAACAAAAGTTTTCGGAAATAAAGTCTAAAACTTCGACCCTAGAAAAGTTTTGTTGAAAAAAGTCATAAAAATAAGAGGAATTTGTAAAAAAGTCCTTAAAATAAGAGGTATTTGTAAAAAAGTCCTTAAAATAAGAGGTATTTGTAAAAAAGTCCTTAAAATAAGAGGTATTTGTAAAAAAGTCCTTAAAATAAGAGGTATTTGTAAAAAAGTCCTTAAAATAAGAGGTATTTGTAAAAAATTCCTTAAAATAAGAGGTATTTGTAAAAAAGTCCTTAAAATAAGAGGTATTTGTAAAAAAGTCATAAAAATAAGAGGAATTTGTAAAAAAGACCTTAAAATAAGAGGTATTTGTAAAAAAGTCCTTAAAATAAGAGGTATTTGTAAAAAAGACCTTAAAATAAGAGGTATTTGTAAAAAAGTCCTTAAAATAAGATGTATTTGTAAAAAAGTCCTTAAAATAAGAGGTATTTGTAAAAAAGTCCTTAAAATAAGAGGTATTAGTAAAAAAGTCCTTAAAATAAGAGGTATTTGTAAAAAATTCCTTAAAATAAGAGGTATTTGTAAAAAAGTCCTTAAAATAAGAGGTATTTGTAAAAAAGTCCTACACTGTAAAGAAAAAAACTTCAGTGAATCCAAAACTGCAAAATTCATTTCCAGTAACATTTTTCTTGGGACTTTTTAAACCAAGTTTTTATTTCAAGGTTTTTTTCAAGAAATTATTTTTCGCCGTGACTTACTTACTTATGATCGCGAGAGGAATGTTTTTTTTCTGATTTTTAAAAAGGTAAAATTCAGAGATAATTTTTTTTTGAAAATATATGATCTTCAAAATGCTGATATCTACTGCAAAAAATAATTTGGGATGAATCATTCTTGAAGAAAACGTGATTTAAAATGCAGCGCGGCATTATCTTGTATATTGCTGGTTTTAACAAGTTAGCCTTAAATCATCGAAAATATATTAAAGTTTAAAAACAATACTTCAAAACTTTTGAAAAATTCACAAAATAATTTTAACAAAATTAAAACTGTTAATTAAGTTGTGAACTTTTGAACAGATTAAAAATAGGATTAGATGAAAACTTTCGAATTTAGATAAGTCTTGACACTTGAGTCCTTGATTAGATGAAAGGGAATTGAGTTTTTGACACAAACTCTGATTTTCTAATCTCAATATTTCTCCAATGTCCCAAACATTTCAAACTAAGAATTCTGTTAGATCAACTAATATGAATTACAAATTTGAGTTTGTGGCCACGACTCAACTCCTGTGTGCATTTATATAAACGTGAATTTATTTCAGTTTCCAAAAGTAAAAACTTCCTCTACAGCCTTTGTTTGTTTGAATTTAAAATAAAATATTTAGAGAAACAACTAAATTTTTCATACGTTTATTTATAATTTACAGTGTGCAGTGGTCGACATTTATATAAATAATTTGAAAACGTTTTTCAATTTTTGATTTCTACAAAGCTTTCAAATATCATGGACGCACATAAACATGGTAACATAGCATAGTTCTCAATAAGCATCTTCTCTTTCTTTACTTGTAAACTTGTATTTTGAAAACATTTTAAAGAATTGTCAAAATTGGAAATTC